AGATGATTTGCAGAAAGACAAAACAATTGTGAAAGCTGCGTACCTGCAGGCGAGCAATCTCCTCTCCAAAACGCTTCTTCTGCTTGGCCACAAGGCTCTGGTACAACTCGGCGTTGGCCTGCATGATGCAGTGCTTGGCCCCCAGCACCGGAATCACTTCCTGAAAATAAAAATACTGACCAGGGAGAGGCAACCACAGAACAACACACAGGCACGCAAACAAATATAAACACACACACACACAATGGCAAGGCAAACCACAAAATGACAGACGCACACCAGCGAAGTCAAGTCACAAATGACATCACGAAAGCCAATCACAAACAGGCGAAAACAGTCAGAAGCGTGCGCACACAAGTACGCGATCACACAAACATAACCAATGCCAACACCACCAACACCACGAGGGATGCAGAAAGAGAGGAGGACGAGAGAGAAAACAGAACAGGCCATCAGTGTTAAACCTTTCCGCAGAAGCTGCCACACCTTCATCAAATGTCCCAAGCCATGTGTGTGTGAGTGTGTCTTTGACACTGCGTGTGTGCTTGATTTCAGGCATTCAACACAGATGCTGCTTTTCAATTTTTTTTAGATTTGGATCAGTGTCCCTGAACTTGTATTTCACTGCACAAATAAAAGCGAAATTTTACATTATAAACATTCAAAAAACTACAAGCTGATGAGTGTCATGAAGCTACAGTTCATGACAAAACAAACTAGATATCATGGGAATGCATGACCATGATTGTTACATGTTTTATTGGTGTGTAAAAAGTTCTTGGAAAATACAAGCTAATTTCCAACATGCTATTTCGAGTTGCACCTTTAAAACTAAATGTTTCCAAAGAACTGTATTTTAAAATCTTCTTTCATAAGTCACTACCAATTAACTAATACAATAATACAACCACCAAGTCTAATGCCCTATCTTGCAATATTAAAGTAAGTATTAATAAAAAAGTTCCTGCATCGGCTTGTTTATCTGGACCTGTTCCAAAATGTACTAGGTTCTTCCTTGGGTCAAGCCCCAATCATTCACAAAATTTCATGGAAACTGCTGCAGTAGGTTTTGGCTAATCTGGCTCAAAAAGAGATAAACAAAAGCCAATGAAAACATAACCTCCTTTTCACTTTAGATTGATTTCATTAACTCTGTTGCATGAACCTGATGTTGTGTATGTGTGCGTGTGTGCGTGCGTGTGTGTGCGTGCACAAGTGCAAGACAGAAAGTAAGTTCTCCACATGTCGATGATTAGATGTTAAGAAACACATCAGAACGGAAACAGGTCAAACTCAAGTTCAGTAGTAACCAGCCAATCAGAATGAAAACAGGATGGAAATGGACCAATGAGGAAAGAGTGAGATTACATTTTGGACAGTCCCACAACCCAAGTAACGCCGGTCAAATCTTTTTTCCTCCACAGACTCACACATATGAAACAAAACACACAATCAGACACACCACAGAGAATCTAAAGTGTGTGTATCTCCATCACAACGAACACATGGCTGAGTGTGAATGTGTGTCTTGTTGTTTGTTGCTAAACCAAGGCAGTTTTATGCCCATGTGTCACTGCATGTGTGTCCTTCACATACCTTAGGAAGGTTGTCTTTATACTGGCACTGCTTGAAGGCATCGCCATAGTAATCTGCCGCCTGATTGGCCAGCTTTGCGACGAGAGCATCTTTCATCCTATCTATTGGTTGAAAAAGACACTTTTAAGTACAATCCAGATAAAAAGCTACATTCTTGTTATTCACATATAACATACTTATAACACCAGCTGTATTTCACTCAAATTCATTCATACATTCACACACATTAGAAGAAATTATATTTTGTGCATTTCATTCATTTAACAGTAGTAATACGTCTTACTGATTAATTTACCCTCACATCCTAAAAGTTTCAAATCAATTCACAACATAATCCCCCTCTCAGCAAAAAAAACATGTGACTTTTTTTTTTTTTTTTTTTAATGGGATGTAACTTTAAAAACTCCAATAAGCAACTCTGGAGACAGAACTGGGACAGGGGCTGTGTTCAGCTGCCTGCTGCCTTTGCTAAAATTACTCTCGGGGCAAAAAAAATAAATTACGTGTGTAATTAAAGATGCTATTTATTAAAAGTGCGCACAAATACTTTGCTTCAATTATATTAGCAAGACTGGAAGATGTGAGACACCAGTGTCCCTGAACGATGAAACTACTGAGGAAACGTGTAAAAAGGGTCCACATGACAGAAAGAGATAAATCATAATGAGAGAGCGTTGAAAAGCTTTGGAAATCTGTGCAGTGGATTATGATGTTACTTGTCTGTATGTTACTAAATATAATGTGTGCTTGAACATTTAGGGGGGGATACCTGAAGCAGCTTTGAGGAAGAAGACCTCCTGGGCCTGGGCCAGCATAATGAGGCTGAGGGTGCCCACAGTCTCAGGGGAGATGTCCATGGTGGGCTCTCTATTCAGTGCAGACAGCACGGTGTCCTTAATGTGACCAAACGCTCCACTGGCCAGCTTTATAGAGACACAGATATATGGTTATTTGGCTAAATTCTATTTTGATGCTTTGGCAACATTGTTTTTGAAACTTTTAATGCCAAATAAAAATAACTTTGATTTGAATAAAAAGAAAAACACAGATGAGACACATAACTTCAATATCAGTCTAAACTTTTCTTACTGCACATCACTAACCCCAGTTTTACTAAATCATCACTTAATGCATCACATTTCAGCCCCGTTGGCACCTGACGAAGATGTCTTCATGCCACCAGGGTCCAACAGACACAGTGTCTCAGTAACAGCACCTCTTTTCTTTATGTGCTAGTGTCAGGTTTCACGAAAGCCATTTGCTAGCACAGCTTACACACAGATCACAGACAGTGTCGGGGCATCATGTTTCACAGGCTGCTGCTCTTAAATTGCAGATATATATGCAAGTTGTACAGGCCTCTTGTATGCTCATGTCTGGGTCACATGGCCAATTGCATGAAATTCACTTGTGGGTAATCAATACCCATATTTACAGATAACTGACATTAAAGTCCTAGTGGAAGTGGGGTTTCTAAAGACAAATATTCATCATCTGAAAGGTTTCCAGTGGACATTTAAACAACAACACAGGAGTGACAGTGTCTTTATATCTCTGTAGTCTATAGGCATATATCTGACAAAACAGCATAACAGTAATATTTCCACCAGGCATTGAAATCATGCTGTACATATTACTGTATCACTGTTTGCTGTTACACCCACCTGATAAAATTTGGCTGAAGCCTTCAGCCCCTCGTCATTGTCCAGGTTCTGCTCTGAGGCGATCTGACTGGCCAATGCTGCTGTGTTGAACAGAACACACGTCTTCTCGTAGCCCAAACTGGCCAAAGCTGCAACACAACAATACTGTGGTCATTTTTAGGGACAACTTGAACAAGTGAATATCATTGGTAAACACATTAAATGTAAGATAAATTTCCTTTCACAGCTAGAAAGTGAGTATGCAGAGGACAGAGTGACAACAACCTTTCATAGATCTTTTTGGTGAACACAGCTGTTTTTGTGAAATAGTTTTTTTTATTCCAAACGGAATTTTCTACTGCTTCATTTGACATTTATCTCACTCAGAGTAAACTGGAAAGAATCCTGCAGTCATGAGCTCCCACAATTCACCACAGAGGACAAAAGATTCAAGCGTGAACAGAATAAATGTGCAGAATGTGGACTGCAACAAAGAGCTATCTTAAGAGTCAGGACATGTTTTTCCAGTCTAATTTTTTTCATCTCACATTTTCTTTCCCTTTTGCTTCGACCACCTGTTAGTGCGGTCTGACCCTGACACACACACTTCAGAGGCTATTTTTTCTTGAACCCTGACACCCTGTCAGGCCTGTTTCTGGATGCAAAGTAAAACAGGACCGAAAGCTTAGCTACCCATCGAGTGTGTGTGAGAGACAGACACACACAAAAAGTGATGGATTAGGAGTAATTAGTACAGACAATGGACCTTGAAGGCAAAGCCGATCTTGTAACATTATTTCCTCCATCTGCTGCTGACTACAGCTCTGTACACTCAGCTCCATGCAGATCTTCTTCCACAAACACAAATGCACTTGACATAAGGCTGCACCTACCGAGCTTGACTGAGCCACCAAACAGCGACCCTTTATCGAAGGCATCCTTCCATGTGAAGGTCAAGCAGAGCTGCGGAAACAGAGAGAGGCTTTTGGTTGAGTGTCTTCTGTTCGGGAGCTACATCTAACACACAATTATGTGTGCTGTTCAATCTCTTACCTGGTTTTCAGAGAAGGGAAACTTGGGTTCAACAGCACACAGCTGGTCATAGTATCTGCAGAGAGAGAGAGAGAGAAACAACTGGATTAAAGTCATGTTTTAAATACATCTGAAATAAAATGTCCTGTTCTTTATTATAAAAGGTAGAAACATTTATATTCTAGATTATTACTGAATAGTAAAATTTAATTTAAAAAAGGGTAAAAAATAGTCCATACAGTAAATCATAATGGAGTTATTACTATCAAACAACTTAGCTTTGTGGGATGAGAATACTCGCTATTTCAAAGATGATGTACAATGAGTCATGAAAAAAGAAAAATAACAGAATACAGAAGCATGCCAAAGTGGGCATAAACACAAGTGCACAAAGAAACTGTGACTGCTCCTCCGCCCTTCATTTGATCAGTATCGTGCCTGTGCACAGTCTGTTGACAACATGCATGACAACATGCAGAGGGACTGGTTAGGGAATCCCAGAGAACTAGTTCATCTGTTCTGTTTGTCTCGCTCCCAGAAAGACTAGAGTGCAAACAAATATCAAACAAAGAATGGATTTATATATAGAATTACCTATACATACAGTTAGTTATGCTTAGGTTTCCCATACAGATAAAAAAGGACACATGTGCACAGAGAAAGCTGAGATGTGGTGTGTCATTCTAGTGAAGTGAAGAAAAAAAAAAACACAATGGTCGCCACGGTGACACAATGGCACTGTGTTAGTACGTCTATCAAAGGGGTAGGCTCTGTTGCCTTGGCTACCTGGCACAGACATATGCAAAGAGCCAAGGAGCAACAATGCTGACAGAGGGTAATGGCAGAAAGTTCGGCACTGATACGCTAACTTCCAATCCTGACTCTAATAAGCTAAAGCCAGGCACCAACCAAACCAACTGCCTGCATTTTATACATAAAGCCTTTAGAATGTGTATATATTTGTAGGCTAATGACAGTTAGGTAGTTATAGGAAGTGAATAATACATGGGAAAATCTTTATGACCCCTGCTCTTTTCAAGAAAGACAGGTCACTGAGACAGACGCCATGACCATCACTCATGGGGTTATGGGTAGATTTATCTCATAAAAGCATCACTGACTCACGTGAGAAAACACCAAATCCCACTTCAGACCATTTTGGCTGCACTCCACTTGTCAGTACTACACACTTAACGGCTTCTGTTGATTTAATATTTCAGGAGCCTTATCTTGGCAAATAAAAAACAACTGGCTAACTGTGGTGAAAAACGTAAGACCTGCATCCTGCGAGTGCATATCTGGCCACTTACATAATCAGTGCATGGAATAAATCATGAGTCACAAAGACGGATATGAGAAGGGGCAAAGTCTGCTTCTATATATAGATGAATGAAGTATGCTATACTACTACGTAAAGTTTAAGAAATGATAGTATGTGGATAAAGCTGAGACTAGTTAAGCCAAGAACTCTCTGAATTTTCCATTAGAGCTGAGTCATGATAAAACAATTTAAGTTAGTTATAGAATGGTCAGAGTAGTTAACAAGGCTGGAACAGTCCGCGGAGCATTGGAGAGAGAGGAAGTAGGTTTCAGTCCAATAAATCCTTCCCAACTTCAGTTCCTCTATGCATAAGGTCAGCATTGTGACTCTTTCACTTTTAATATTTTTACATGTGTGGTTTTCCTACATTTTGTAAATTCAGAACAGCTGATTCTAATAAATAATCCACAGGCAGAGTTTACATTCTTCTGCTTTCTTCTTGTGATTCTCACACACTCACACCTGTGTGCACATTGATCTGTTATATGAAATATGAATACGATATGAAAACCTGGTTTATCAGCCCTGCCACGAGGTGGAGCGGCAGCCTGGCCCTGGCTCTGAATGACATCTGACACTGGAGCTGACTGGGACTTTCTCAGTGGTACAGAGCTAATCATGCTAATTTGAAAGTGAGCTGAGCAGTTTAACTGTGTGTGTGTGAGCAAGACAATTACATCACTTATTCATAAACAACTAAAACCTCTATTCTTGTCATGGCTATAAAATGAAGAATCAGGATGAGTCAGCTGATCACCAAAGATAACAATCGATGACGGTGGTGATGAGGGGGACTGAGTGTTTAGTTTGTTGCTTGTGTTGATGTTGTTATATTTATATTTATTTTTTAGTCACCCTGTCTTTCAACCCGGAAACAATAACATTAATTTGAAGCTAATGCTAACGTAAACCATGTAGTGTCATCATGTGAGTCAGTTAATTTACATACGTTAGCTCGCTCGGCCTGCGTGGCTTTTCTAACCGTTTTCACATCTGACAGTTAAGTACAAGCTAACAAGCTACGTCACTGTTCGTTGAAACTGTGTATAGAAAACACGCGAGTCGGACATTTGGGTGACAAACACTTCCTAGCATGCTAGCTTGACTAACTTTAGCTCCCGTGTTAGCAACTATAGGCTAAGACATCTGGGTGCGGCGATGACTAAGCTAGCTCCCCGATACAGGTGAGAGTGGATCCGTGTGTCCGTATCAGGCTGTGTGGGTCAGGGCTGTTATAAAACGGAGGGGGGGGGGTCTACCTGAGCAGGACCTCCAGCGAGCTCTCGTGTTTGTCCAGCGGCCTCCCCAGCGCATTTTTGCGGAGCTTGTTCAACTCGTCCACGGATCGGAGGTACTCTGCCTGGTCCTCGCTCCCCGCGTATGTGGCCGTTACAAACTTGGACAGCGGCTTCACCAGGTCCACCTCGGACGACTTCTTTAACGGGACTGAAATAAACGTCGCCATTTCGGCCCGTGTTACAAGATGTACTGAATCAGAAAGACGAGAGACGACCAGCGAACACAAACAACAGCGGGCTACCCACTTCCTGGTTTCTCACACCGAACGTCAAATTACGTCATTGGGAAACGGAGACGCGCAAGGCGCAGATCGGGATCGTTTTTTTTTTTTTTACAAATAACAACACGAGGATAATAAGAATTGTCTTTTTTATTTTTTAAGTCTTCATATATGATATTGTATAATATGATGCAACAGAGATATTATTGATAAAATTCTATTTTTTATTGTAGAAATTGTCCAATCAAATTTTTAATTCAAATACATTTTCCATACCCTGTGTTTATTGTATAATACAAATGTGCAAAGTTACTATTTTATTCCATGATTAGACTTTTCATCACAAAGTTAAAGTACAATCATTTGTATAGCATAAGAAAATGTTGGAGTAAAGAATCATCGGGTAAATACTGACCTGAATGAATACTTAATACAAATCAATTATTAAGATATTAGATGTGTAATTGATTTAGGTCACTTTGTGGGGCTCTGCTTTCTCTTCAAAGCTACTTTTATTCATTGTTTTAAGACAATAAACTATTAAAAGCTGTGTAAAATCCTACAATAGGCACTGGACGTGATTGGCTGTTTGCTCATTCTGATCAAAGTGACAGTTGCATATCAATCAAACTTTATATGTATATAGTTGTACATAGTTACTACTATACTTAATGTAATACAAAGTGCATTACAGAATAAAAAACAATAAAAACGAAACCATTCAGTTTCAGAACCCCCTAACCCATCCCCACAGAGCAAGTCACTAAAAAGGAACTGAGGAACTGAAAAAACACTATCATCACATAAAGTATTATGTCTGTATTTATATACATGATTACTATTTTCATAATGCTTCATTTATTTATGTACAGTGTTTCATTTAAAACACTTTTTTGTAGATATCACTTTTCAGTATCAGACAATAAATTGATGATGTAGTTAAATGATGAAAGAATTCTAATTAAGCTACATAATTGAAAGAGCCATAATGTAAAAGCAACTGGTCGACCTGAACAACACTCACAGACATGCACTTTGAGACATTAAGGTGTGAGCCACCAGTTCACCAATTCGGCATCTGATGTGATGTCTTGATTGGAAATCAGCTTGATTCAGTGTCACAGATATCTGCCCAGAGAGACCTGTGGCAGGGTTTAGTGCTTTCATTCTGCTCCATGAGTCACTGCAGTCATCAGTGTCCAGCGGCCCAAGGACCCTGCTTTCCTCTGTCAATTCATTTTTATTTGTATAGCACCAAATCACAACATCTCAAGCTACTTTACATAGTTAGGTAAAGATCTTACAATATTATAGACTCAAAAAATCCCATAAGGGGGAGAAACGAGAGGTTGGTGGAAAATAAGGGAGATAAGAGCAAGAGAGACCAGGAACATTCATATTTAAGTTCTGTCAGAATGTTATCATTAAAATAAGATATATAATAGATAGAATGGTGTGATTAATGATAGCAGCACCAGTGAAAGGTAATAATGCTTATAATAAATAATTGGGTGTTAATAATAGTTACCTTTGATAAGTTGCAATTCCACAAAGACAGTGTTTTAGTTTTCTACATAACTAATATTTTTATTGGTCATTATGATAAAAAAGCTACATGAGAAACATTAATGCCCCAAAAGATGTGTAAGCACATTTGTCTGGATTAATTAAAGCAATGAAGAAAAGTAATCATCCCATGGGACCAAATGTTTTCCAAAGCTTTGGAGGGAGATTTAATAACTTAGAGACAATAATTCAGATGAGGTCATCTAGGTTATCTGGACTTGGAGGCAACACATTTATAACAGAAGGGTATTTAACTAAATGCAAAGATGAGGTTTAAAAGAACGGTTTTACCAGACATGGAGAGTAATGAAAAGAAGCTACCGTCTGTAACACAAAAAAACTCTGCAGCAATTTGTAAGTCAGAATATCTATCATATAACATGTGAACAGATGTAGTCCTAAAAATGTTAAAAAAATTTATTTTGTGAAATCATGCAACGAGACACCAGGGAAAGTTATGAAATCATTTATTCCCAGCACGTGGTTGTGTACACGTCCAGCATACGATACTGTGCACATGAGAAGCATCATCATTGACATTAGGCTGTACAGAAACAGTGGTCACCTCTCCTGCTCTCTCTCACACACACTCGCTCACGCAGACAGACGATTGGTCAGGCCGTCAGGTGATGAGAACACCTTGCCACAGTTTGCCTGACTCTTACCACATCCACTCTATTCTCACTATGTGTTTGAGTCGATGAACACTTCACTGTGTCGTGGAACTCGCGTCCTTGTAAACGCCACAGGAGTCCTGGGCTCTGGTGCGACGTGAGACAGAAACAGACGCTTTTTAATCATTATTTTTCTTTCTCCTTCTCATTAGGTGGGTAAGAAGAGGGTGTGGCTGTAGGACTAGACTACACATCAAGCTTTAGTTTTGTGATTTTTCAGTGCAGGCTTGGTCTCTAACATCTGGAAAAAGTTACACACCAAGGACCAAGCTCATCCCTCCCCCTTCCCTGGCTCCCACATGCTCGTCACTAAACAGGAAGCTAAAACACAGTTTCATTATTCCAACAGGGAAAAAAGCTTGTGACAACTACCGACATAATTAAGTTTACTTTGCAAGAACAAAATATGATACGCACGCACACACATAGATTCTGATGCTTAGAGGCGTGCAAACTGAATGCACTTCAAAACCAGACATCGGGCACCAAAACTTAGAGGGTCAACTAAACAGAAAGCTCCTCCCTGCTACTCCCTGACCTGTGTGAGAGGTTTCCTGTGGCTTTTCAAAGTAAGGGCATTCAAAACACAAGACTTATACTTCCTGTGCTCGGCTACATTAAAAACACATGGTTTTGAAAAGAGGACGTGGAGCTGTTGTGACTTTCTAGGATACTAGACTTTTGAAACCAGGCAGCAGCACAGATGTGTTTCTTCCAGCTGGCTGCGTGGGGGGTTGTTATTTGAATAGCAGATGCTGGAATGGAGGGTTTATTATTTTGAATATGTGCACAAGCAGCTCCACCAGATGAGGGTTTAATTTTCCTTCAGACCAATTCCTCTAATGGACGAGATATACAGAGCCAATTAAAAAAAAAAAGAAGAGCCTATCTATCTGAAACGTGTTTGGTCCACATTAATGTAGGCGTTACTACTCTGCACGTCTGTCTCCGATCAAGGTTTGTTCCTCTTTTTTTAAATGCGAGAGATCCTAGAAACCTTGAACCCTCACTACTCTAAACCAGTGTTTTAAAGTCAGCACAGAAAGTAGAGGAGTCAAAGACATGAATGTGCTCAGTGTGTGTGTCTGTGAATATGAGGAAAAGATGGAGCTAAAATTTGATATGGCACCAGAAAAATGTCAGTGAGAGAAACAGTGCAACCATAAATAAAGCATCAACTAAAAACAGTAAAAGCTCCGACCAGACAGGACGTACGTTCACAGAGTGGAGAGCTGAGTGTGGTGTGTGACGTCAACAGAGAGGTGACAAATGTGGCAAGAGTCACTGAAATCAGTCCAAGACAAAAAATAATAATAAGTTGCCGCCTCTCCCATAAATTCAGCCGGGATATTTCAGGGGTTACCGAGCTTGGGGATCAAGAAACGGTTACTAAGACAAGCCCGAGAGAATGTTAAACAAGCAGAGTACGCAAGTTAGTATGTCGAGATCGCATGCTGTTCAGCAGTACAGGTTATCAAATACTGGCCTAATGCTGGTTGTGCACGTCGTGTAGGAAGGGCAACGAGCAATAAGGAAACTCTGCTTTCTTTCCTCCTCCTCTCGGCCATATTATAACCTCCCCCCTCTCTCCTGGAGCCTCCCCCTCCCTTCTGCCTCCACACAAAAACATATAAAAAGACAAAAAAATAAGATAATAAAATCAAAATACATAGAAAGATTGTTATCACTCCCCCAAACCCCATATTCCCCCCCGGTCTCTCCTCTTTTAACTCTCCTCCGTTAATAGTGTTTTCAATATGAAACAGTGGACACACCCATGTCAGATTCTAACATTTACATGGCTTTAACGCAGTCTCTCTGCTTTCCATCGAGCCGTCGATCAGAGAGAGAGAGAGAGAGAGAGAGGGAGGAAGTAGAAGGAAAGAGTAGAGGCAGGGAGAGAAGGAGGCTTCTGCTCCAAAACAGAGAGTGGAGTTTTAGTGATGCCATCTGTACTCATCATTACTTCAGGATTAGATGGAGTCCTTCGCCTAGTTCATCTGGAGGAGAAACAAGTACATTTATTAGTTTAATTTCAAACTTTGTTTCAAAAAAGCTGTTTTCAAACATGACCTCCGGGTAAAAGAGGAGAATTGGTTACAGAGTTTGCTTTCACACATGCACAACACAGTGGGGGGGGGTTGACACATTCACAACAGCAAAGGACAGCGGCAGCAAGTGATATATTAACTCTGCTGGGTGGTTTACAGCAACCTGACAACGTTGTCAGCTCTTATCACCACCAACTCCCTTGACATCTTCATCGGTGTCTTCTTCATGTTTGATGAAGCTTTTTCACCAGGAGATTTTATATTTTTCATTTTTATGTCTGTCACGTGGAACTGCGGAGTCCAGTGCATGTCTGAAAGCAGTTTTACAGTGAAAGAGAGAGCTGCTTCATTAGCTCACCTTTGACGGTGCTAATCAAAAAACTGCTCTCGTCAGGCAAGTTGTAAACCATCTGAAAAGGACAAAACAGACAAAGTGAATTGATTCATCATGTATCACTGCCAAAAAACTGGTTTCTAGGCATTGGTAGGTCACGTTATGATTGGCAGACCTTTAAATGAAAGCACAGACTAAACATTTTGCGTGTGAGGGAGGACTGTAAATGACATGCAAATTCTAGGTGACACTACAGACAGTGGAGCTGTTGTTCCTGGTAAGAGAGCACACAAAACAGTGGCCCACAGTTGATTTCTTCCTCTGACAAAATTCATGTGTCAAATGCCATGTAATTAAATTGAAAATGTTATATCTAAGCTCCTCCCTTGTTTTATTTATCTAGAAATAATACATGCATCAAATACAATATCAAAAAGCACAACACATCATCTATTTGGAGCACAAAATACATATTGAAAACAGAGTGATTGTAGAGTCATTCATTTCCATGTTGATGGTTTTCCCTGATTATAGTGGACAGTTTGAAGTATTCCACAGTTTTTTTTTGTACTTTGACACATGAATTTTCAATTATACATTGCTACTTAATGTAGAGCCCTCCACAGCTGAGAGTGCTGGTGGAGAGGCAAAGGGCATGTGTGTGTGTGAGAGAGTGAGTACCTGGTCACTGAGCAGGATGTGTATGCCTGTAGGACCCTGCCTGTACACCTGGTTGATTGTTCCCAGTGGAAGGCTGCACACACACGCCATCTTGCGGATCAGTTCTGCAGCTGTCAGCTCCTCTAGGTACAGAGCGTGGTATACTGCACACAAACAGGTTTTAAATTCAGACTATTCAAATACCCCATCTACTTGTTACACAGGAAGTGTTTCTATCTGTACCTCGTAAATTAGAGGAGATGCTGTGCTCTCCATTTTCATTACTGCCATGTCTCTCCAGCAGGGGGCTCTCCTGAGGGGACTCCTGACAGACATACACTGTCAACCTGGGGCACACCGACCTACACACACAGAAATTGTTTTTATGAATACACTGGCATGCTGTTGCTTTTGCAGGTACACATACACGCAGAGTAACACACCTGGATTTAAGTGCATTGTAGAGTCTGATCCCATCTGCTGGCCCACAAATCTGGACCAGGTCGTCCCGTGTTAGCTTCAACAAATCAGAACCTATGCAAAGACAGAGAAGCAGTCTCTAGCACCACAGTGGTTATCTCTTCACACGTGTGTTTTATTGTGTGGGGACAATGTGAGTACCTGAGAAGTGAGAGAAGAGTCGTGTGTAGGAGTTGAAGCGGTTTTTCAGCAGCCACTTCTGTGCGTCCTGTATGGACGCGGTGGGACTCAGCTGCTGTTGAGGCCAGAGACAGAAGATGTCAACACACAGATCTGGGTTTTACTTTCCCCACTCATAGTCAGCCATCATGTTAAACACTGAAGTTCTTGAACAGTTTTCTACGTGAGCGTAAAGTGCAGACTTACCTCCAAGTTGACATGGCTGCTGGGGTCTGCCTGGTGATTGGGAGAGGACGAGTCACTGGAAAACACGATGTAACAATTAATAGAGTCCAACACACATCTGACTTTAAACATGTCTTCACCTGAGGTTATGTGGACACACACACACACACACACACAC